AGTATGTTCTTAATCTTTACTCTTGCTTTAAAGAGATAAAGTTAACAACAGTTTACCCAAAATGTACATGAAAAATACATATTTAACATACCATTATATGTTTTTGTCCAACTACTCCAAGACTTTAAGTCTTTAGAGTATATCCAATTTTATTTATTTAATATATTAAACAGAGCATTCTAGAGATAAATCTAGAAATTTCTAAAGATGCGTAACTATTTAATTAATAATAATATAACAAAATAAATATAACAAAATAATTTTGATTTAAAAATAGCTTTAATTAATTCATATTAAAGCATCTTAAATATAATCTAAAATATTAATTTTATTTACCATTCATTGATCTATCACCATTTAAGTATATTTTAACCTCTTTCCTGTAGTTAACGTAAAACAGACTCACATGTAATTAATTTCTTTTGTTCTCTTCCTACCTTCACCTGTATACCATTCCCACCTAGCTAAAACCAGTCACTTGTGTCAATTTCAGAATTTGGCTAAGTGGGAAGACACCTACAAGAGGCCAGAATTCTAAATATTTGACGCTTGACATCTCAAAAAAAGGGGAATATTTTCATCTTAGCCATATAAAAAAAGATGTTGAATATATCACAAGAAGGATTTTTAAAATGAAAACTTTATACCATTTTCTTTTTACGAATATGTCAGACAAAATCATATCTCATCTAATCGAAAAATTAAACGGGAGACCCACTCGTTGCTCGCAACGAGATCTCATCTAGTTAAGGTCTTTCGTTTTGAACGGAAGACCTTATTTTTTTCGTTTGGTTTCTTTTTCCCTATCATTATTTTTTTTCTTACCGATTTTTGTGCATGCGAGTTCTCACAAATGGCTTGTCGTCTTTCACGAAAATTTCAGATCTGATAGATACTAATCTGAACCTTATTTAAATTTTTTTTTTGATGATCTTAACAATCTGCAATAATATACTCACCGGTAATGAAACCGCAACACTCTAATTTTAGGGTGAAGAGTATATACGGGTTATAACTATGTACCAAAAAGTTAGGACATCTTTTACTTTGCCAAATCAGTTATTTAACGGTTGAATGAATTTCTTTTCTCTACCGGAAGTTGCTTTTTAGCCCTCTTAACAGAAATCAAATTTTTGCATTTTTGATAAATTTTTTAACAATATTTTGGGTTTTCAAGGTTTTGTAGCTGTTTATCATCAGTATTGTACAAAATCCCGGGAAAAAATGCTTCTTTCTTTACCGGATGTGATGCCTATATTTCCTAAAAATGACTGATTTTCATTGCTAATGCTGGAGATTCTCAAAATAAAGAAAAAAGATTTGCAGATGCAAATGTACACTATTTAACGACTCATCAGGCTCATGTGTTTCAATAGCATAAATAACGCCCTTTAATTTTTCAAATATTTACAATGTTCAAATACCCAAGCCCAAAACTAACAAAATATAAACATATAAACAGTATGCCTCCAACTAGAATGTAGAAATCAAAGGTTAACTACTTACAGTTGACACAAAAGATCAATTTATGTGGAGCCTATTTCCCACATACTCACTACGATAAGGTACAACGACTATGGAGACATGTGTTATGAATATCAACCAGTATTTAAGAAAAAGGTTTTCGGATTTTTTGTTGTTTTTTTTTTTTAATTTTGACCCAAGAGCAGGAGTGCCACTAAAATAATTTTGTTTTAAATCATTCCTAAGATCAAAATTTATCAAAATTTCTTAATTTAATTTGGGGACAGGCCTGCCCAGAAGGACTTTTACGCAAAATTAACGCAAAAATTGGTGCTTTAACGGACAAATTGCTGTTTTGACCAACTTCGAAAGTTAATTTCAATGTTCAAATACCCGGGTAAAAGATAAACAAAGGAAAAGCTAAAAAAAGACTGAGTGGGTAAATTCTAAACAAATGAAAAGCAAGTTTAACAAAATAAAGAACCATGGAATTGAAAATTACTACAATAATTTAGAATTATACCTTACGAACCCTATCAAAACAACTCGAATTATAATTTATACTGGAAAATATCGAAAGGTGTTTTCAAAACTAAAAATGCATCATTACAATATAAAATAGATAATGATCGTACGAAGAACTAGATGTACTCAGTATTTTTTTTAATCTGTATCCTGCATGATTTGATGATAGCGGGTCAGAATGTGACAGTGCAATAAGTATTGTATATATTACCGAGCAAGCTTTTGGTCATTATGATATACTTCAGTAGATGTTAAACTCAGGAAATATAAGTAGCAAAATGAGCTAATTTAAGTCTAAGATAAAGTTTTTATTTCTTAGGTATGGTGACATATTTCTGCCCCCTACATGCAAGAAAAATTATTTTAACATGCAACATAATTATGTAGACATGCAACTAATATAAGTCAAAATGCAAGTTAATTGTTTCGACACATGCACGTTCTCAATGTTGTAAGAAAATATAATTGAAATATTGGGAACATAACTTGCTAACGCCATATCTGACATCATACATGCAATATGCAACGTTATATAATGATGAAGATATGCAAATTATTTTGTCTACATTCAAGATAAATATGTAGACATGCAAGTTATTTATATCAACATGCAAGATAATAATGCGCAGAACAGTTAAGGCTACAGTAAGAACGCATAGCGAAATTCATACGGGTAGTGTTTACTATGACGTCACACAGACATATTAGGTCGTAGAACTACTAAAAAATAAATTGTTTTTATTTTTATCTGCTGAATAGCTCTAGACTACATAAAAGCTTACTATTATATTACGTGTGTCATTTGTTAAAACCTACAAAGCAAAATATAAACGATTTTTTTATCGCAATGCACTTGTCAATGTGATGTCATCTCGTAGAAGTTGACGCAGTTTGTAAACAGTGAGAGGCTGATGAAGTCAAATTTTGTTCAGTAAAAATGTCTTTTGTTATCAAATGAAAATCATTTTCAGTAAAATAAAAGGCCGTCATCTTGGATGCGATGTCTGTTTAACTATTTTGTACAGGCTGTAAAACTATATTCTCGAGACAAGTGATACGACCGTGTATTTCTACGCAGATTCATAAAACGTGATATAAGGGACCTAATAAATCGATTTATTGCAAGGGCATACCGTTAATGTATCTTGCCAAGTGTTTACACATAAACTCAAGAAGAATTACTTTATTTGAAAAATGTTGCGAACCTCGTGAAATCTTTCAAACAAATAAATTATACCTGCATTTAATGTAGTTGACCAGCAAAATATTCAACCTGCCGTCTAACAAATTTAATTTTACCAACTAAATAGTGGAATCTATAAAGCTTCCCCACACATTTTACAAAAACATATAATGTTGAAGGAATTATTAATTAAACAAAGTTTTCTTTTAAACTTAGTTATGCTCTAGCAATATTAGAATCTATAGATGACATCAAAGCTCCAAGGATATTTGCTGACATCACGTAACAAGTCTAAATAAAAAATCTAAAGTCCTTAACATATACCTTTGAACCCTATTACATTTTTCTGATGTTATTAAAGTCCGCAAAAGAATCGTCCATCCTTATTTAGTATGTATTTTTTTAAATCTAAAAATCGTCGATATTTTCATTTGTCACCTTAACTGTACTCGTGTAAACATGCAAGTTCATTATGTCAATATACGATCTATGCATGTTAACAACATATTATCTCGCAAGGTGACAAAATTAATTTACATGTAAAAATATAACTTGCATATTGGCATAATTAAGTCGCATGTTAACATAAATAGGTTTCATGTTAACATAGCTATCTTGCATGTTAACAGAACAAGTCACATGTTAATATAATTATGTTGCATGTTAACATAAATATGTCACATGTTAAAATAAATATAATGCAAGTTCACATAATTATATTGCATGTTCGCATATTTATCTTGCATGTTCACATAATGATCTTGCATGTTAACATAAATAAGTCCCATGTCAACATAATTTTGTTGCGTCAAGTATGTCAGAAAAATATAAGAGTCAATTTTGACTCCTTTAAAATCAACATTTAAGAATGATCTTCATATATATACAATTGATTTTTATTTTGTAGAAGAGATAACATAGGAAATATTTCCAATACATTTTTTTACATTTATATGCACTTAAAGGCAAAAAATGATATCAAAAAGGGCGCTAATTTTGCAATCCAACCAAATTTAGACTAAAATGGACTTTTTCTTGACAGTTTTTCTAATTGGAAACAGAGCTCAGCTTGGAACATTAAAAAATTGTCAGTAATTTATCTTTAACAAATACATCTTTGGTAAAAATATTTAGTTGGTTCTAGTCTGGGCTCAATATTTTCTGGGAAAAAATGCTTAAAAAATAAGCAGTATTGTACAAAATATTCTAAAATGGCGGGGAAACATGAACTTTATATCCTTTTTCTAAATTAATGGTATTTTGAACAATTTGAAATTTTCAATAAGAACACATGTATAGCTGTGCAAATTAGATCTATATATATAGTCAAATTAAGATATTCATTTCAAGGGGCCATTCAAGACTCTTATCACATATTGGTCTTTACCATACTAAAATAACATTCTCTGATAAGAATAGTAACTTGCATGCTAACATAATTATCTTGCATGTAAACACAATTTCCCTGCATGTTGACATACTTTTCTGGTATGTTCACATAATTCATATTGCAAATGGGGAGCAGAAATAAGCCACCATACTTAAGAACATATTTTCATATAAGTGGTTTTTTTTAATGTTTAACAAATGTTAAATGCTGAATAAGACCTACAATGTTTGGGATAAATTTTCAATACAATCACTCTATCCGAACAAGGAAAATTATTTCGAAAAATTAGATGAGCTTTTTATTAGATAGGGGGTACCTTGTAAATTTTTTATTGGAAAAAACTTTAACGTTTTAAAATCAAACTTTATTATCAATTTTTTTTCACTAAACCAGGAATGGGTTTCCGTGTAAATATAAAAATACTATAACGTTAATATCTTTCCATACCACTGTATGCTAGTACTTGAATATGTTTTCTACAGACGTTGTTTGTTCTCATTTTCAGTCAATAAAATCGAATCAAATGAGGGAGAATCAAAACATATTTCATGGAATGTTGATTATATCCCGGTCTCTGGATCTTACCATATTCTTCATTACAATTCGACTAATGGTTCATATTCAAATATAATTGATATAATTAATTGGAAAATAAATATACAAAAATCACAGAAGTATGCATACCACAGTAAACCCATTACTTCAACCAGGATACAGTTTGAGGTCAAAGACATAACAGTGGCAGATGCTGGTCACTACGTGGGAGGTTACTCACCATCTAATGCTTTGTCTAAAGGAGATGATGCTGTCCTCATTGTTTATGGTAAATCAATAATTATGTATAATGTCAACAGAGTATAAAAATTCCTGTATGACTAAACATATTTTAAAAATGATTATTCTCCGCTCCTTGGTTGAAGAAATATCAGGAAAAATTAATCATTATAAGGTCATCAAATGAACTTCAACCTAATTTTGGTCAATGCATTGTCTCTAGGATCACTTAGCTTCAATCGAAATCTCTTTTAAATATATAGAATAAGAAAAGGGAAATCGTCATATTGAGAGAATTTTCTCATTTTCAGACGTTACATTTTGTCAGTATTTTTTTAAGGCATTCATAATATTTTTAGCTCAACTTAGCTCAAATGAGCTTTTCTGATCAAAATTTGCCCGCTGTCTGTCGTCGTTGTTGTCATAGATTTGTCATATTTTCATCTTCTTCTAAAGAACCACTGGGCCAATTTCAACTAAACTTGCAAAGTATTCTTGGATTAAGGGGATTCATATTCGTACAAATGAAGGGCAATGCCCTCTTCCAAGCGGAGATTATGAATTAGTGAGAAACTGGTGACATCTTTAAAAAAATCTTTTTTTTCAAGAACCACAGGGCCAGGAAAGTTGAAATTCATTTGAAAGCACCTCAAGTTGCGTAGATTCAAGTTTTTTTTATCAAACCATGACCCCCACAATATGGAATAAAAGTTTAACATAGTAATACATAGGAACAATCTTTTAAAATCTTCTCAAGAACAGCAAGGCCATGATTAGTTACATGTATATAGAAGCATCCTCTGGTAGTGTAAAATCAAGTCTGTTCAAATCAAGACCCCCGGGGATAGAATGGTGGCACAATGTGTAAGTTTAACATAGGAATACACAATAACATAGGGAACATATTCAAAATTCTTCTCGAGTAAAGCCATGATTGGTCATTAGCTATATTGAAGTATCCACTGGACGTGTAGATTTAAAGTTGTTCAGTCATGATCCCTGGGGGTAGGGTGGGTCCCCAATGGAGTATCAATGTTTAACACGAATATACATAGGAAAAATCTTTACAGATCTTCTTCTCAAGAGCAGCAAAACTATGATTGGTCATAGTTATATGAAACCATCCTCTGGTAGTGTTGATTCAAGTTTGTACAAATGATGACCCTAGGGAGTTATGGAGCCACAACGTGGTATCAATGTTTAACATAGCAATACATAGAAAGAAATCTTTCAAAATCTTATTTTCATGAATAACAAAACCATAGTTGTATAAAAGCATCTTCAGGTAGTGTGAATTAAAGTTGTTCAAATCATGAACCCTTGTCAAGGGTAGGGCCAAAATGGGTGATCAAAGTTTTAAGAAGGATAACAGAAAAAAAGAATTTTTTTTTCTCGAGGAAAGCAAAGCTGTGATAGTTCACTTTTTATGTGGAAGCGTCCTCGAGTATTGTAGATTCAGTTTTGTTCAAATCATGACCCCCACCCCCACCCCGGTTAGAGTGGGGCCACATTGGGTGATCAAGGTTTTATGTAGAGATACATAGGAAAAATTGTTAAAATTCTTCACAAGAACAATAAAGCCATGATTCATCATTAATATAAAAGCATGAAAAAGAGCAGATTTAAGTTTGTTCATATACCCCTCTTTTGAACCCACTTGTATTTATAAACTTTTCATTACTAAAATGGTTTTCCTCGTTGCCCAAGTGAGCGATGTGGTCCCTTGGCCTTTTTTTTTTTTTCCTAATATGTCAATGAACTAGTCGTTTCACTTAAAACAAAGAATTTTGATACAGTCATTTGTTGATGCATACTTGCTTTCAAACATTTCGTTTTTCTTGTAATTTATTTCAAATTTAATTTGAAGTATGAAACCAGTTAAACCCTTAAATTTTGCATTTAACATTACGAGAATACCTTTTCCTCTTAGATAGTCTTATTTTTGCACTAGCAAAATCAATACGGTACAAAATAAAAAAAATTGTATAGTTCAATATTTCAAAACTCAGTTTCACACTTGTGATTTTTCATATTGTGATTTTTGATATCTTTTTTTCCTGTAACATAAAAAAAATTGTGCATATTTCATGATCATTTTAAAAATTCCAAGTCACAGAACTTAAGTCAATAATTAATTTATATAATTGTGTATCATTTCAGAAAGGTTACAGATATGATTTTTTTTCTCGCATAATATATTATATTGCTAGAGCCACTCCATTTTTCATAACCCTTCATAAACGATTAAAAATGTAACTTTTAAATAAAACAATATGGTTCGCCAAATGCATCAATCGTTTGGTGGGGAAAATGATGTGGTTGATGCTGTATTTAAACCTTTGGAATGAATTATTAATATGCCTTCAATATAAATTAATGGTGATGTTAAAACAAAATTAAGAAAGCTTAATTTACAGGAAAACCACAAAAACCCGTTATAAGCGGAGAAAAATCAGTCAAGGTAAACACTGAAGCCTTTCTTGAATGTGAAAGTAGTTCAACCTCTGCACCTAAATATTACAAGTTTCCACCATTGTCGTATTCATGGTTTGTCAACAACACCAAGCTAAATGGCGAAGTTCGGGAGACCTACAGATTCACAGTCTCAAGAAATGACACGGAAAAGAGATACAGCTGTCAGGCAGAAGAAAAAAATCTTGAATCGGAAAGAAGTGGGGAAATTCAGATTAATCCTTTATGTAAGTACTAGTATTGATTACTTCTTTATATGCCAAAAAGTATTTCAAATAAATGAAATTTTCAAAAAAGTTGTGTTTGTAACGACATTTTTCTTTTAACAGATGGTCCAGAAAGTGTTATAATAACCTCGCATCGTGTAGGTGAAGAACTAGAAATAAAGGATGGGGATTTCTTTGGTCCGTACACATGTTCAGCAGACTGTAATCCTGCTTGCACCTTACGATGGCAATACAAGAATCCCTCAGGATATTTTGAAGTGGCAACGCAAGCTGACAAAGCTTCAATAACGTTATCAGGAAGAGTAGACAGAACTAGGATGAGACAAATTCAATGTGTAGCCAACAATTCTGTAGGACAAAACAACCAAACTATCAATTTGAACATTCTGTGTAAGTAACGTTTACATTATTTTATCCATCAGAAAAAATTACTTAAAAAACCAAAAAATTCCGGAAAGCAACATACACTTACCTTAAACCTTCATCTGAATTTGACAGGTAGTATTTGTACTTGATACCTTTTTTTTTACTTATAACAGCATTGCATTGCAGCATTTGCGTCATATGTTCATCAATAAAATCGCAATTAATCGATAACTTGTACTACTGATAATTTTTAAATGAAATGTGGGCGGCGAAAAGGGTTAGGCTCATTATATAAATTGCATTCTAGAAGAACTTGGATTTAATTCTACAAGTGGTAATCCTACTTATACCCATACTTATCTTTCTAAGAAAGAAATTCTTCAAAATCACCTGTCAGTTTTGAATACTTTTAATATTCCACAGAGCCAAAATGAATTTGAACTACCTTATATATATATTGGATTCCGAAACTTCATAAGAATCCTTACAAACAAAGATACATTGCAGGTTCCAGTAAATGTTTAACCAAGCCTCTTTCGTTACTTCTCACTAAGATTTTGACAGTAGTGAAGATAAAAACTTCAAGAGTACTGTGCAACTATATATTCAAGAAGTGGTGTAAATCAGATGTGGATACTGTAGGAGTACTTTTTTCCGCATGGTATTAATTTACGCTATGTACGCGGCCACAAATTTTCCGCGGAAATTTGTCCAAACGTACTTAATATAAATGTAAGGCATATAGTGACAGTCTAAGAAATCCGCATAATTTTCTACCCGCGGATTAAACGGAAATTGAGATTCCGCGGAATTATGACCCCGCAGAAAAAAGTACATTTACAGTACTTAAAAATTCTAAAGAACTTTTGGACAATTTGAAATCACAAAACTTTACAAAAATCAACAGCTTAAAAATTTACCACTTTTCAACTTTATACACGACAATTCCCCGTGACAAATTAAAATCCAGGCTTTTTGATATCATTGACAGCTGCTTCTTCAATAAAAATGGAACTCGTAAATTTACTTACCTTGTTATTGGTCATTTGCAAAATTATTTTGTTAAAACAGATTCTGATTGCACACATAAGTACTCTGAAGTTGACATCAAGAAGATGCTTGAGTTTCTGATTGACAATATATATGTGGTTTTTGGAGACCTGGTATTCCAACAATCTATTGGAATTCCCATGGGTACAAATTGCACTCAGTTAATAGCAGACTTATTTTTATATTCATATGAAGCAGAATTTATGCAAAATCTTATGCGTGAAAAGAAGAAAACACTTGCTGTGGCCTTCAACTCGACATTTAGATATATCGACGACGTATTGTCAATTAATGATGATAATTTCAATTCCTATGTCGATACGATATATCCTGGTGAGTTTGAGATAAAAGATACCATAGCGTCGGACTAGTGACAAGTGTTTCATACTTGGATATTTAACTTGAAAAAAACGTTAATGATAATCTAACAACCAAGCTATATGATAAACATGATGACTTTAACTTTTCTATCGTCAACTTCCCTTACTTATGCAGCAATATACCTTAAATATACCTTCATCTCCTGAATTCAGAGTATATATATCTGAGTTGATTCGATAAACAAGAGCATGCTCCACATATAAACATTTCTTTTTTTAAACGAGGTAAATTATTGACAAGCAAGTTGATGAAACAAGAATATCAACAGTCTCGTTTAAAGTCATCATTTCGTAAGTTCTATGGTCGATACAATGACCTTGTCAGCAAATACAATTTATCATTGAGTCAAATGCTGACTGACGTTTTTCATACCAATTGTTAGTCCATTATTTATACACTGAATTGACGGCGGATTTTTTCCGTTATTTCCTGATCATGACAACGAGCACACGGCGGGTGTGACAGGTCAGCAGGGGATGCTCACTCCTCTATGGCACCTGATCCCACCTCTGATGTTTCGGAGGTCCGTGTTTGCTTTGCTCTTATTTTGTATATTGTTTAATGGACTTTGAGATTGAATACTGTTCGTTATCTCCGTATCCTTCCTTATGCAAAACTAACAACTGATTACCGTCTTCCTTGGAAGACGGTATTGTATAGTTGAAGTTTTTTTCAGTCTTCGGACTATGCACTTCCTCTCTTTTGTGATTGGTAGAAATTGCATGATGAGAAAATTTTCAATTATTTCATTGGTTGAAATGCTGTTCAAGGCAAGGGAGATAACTTTCTGATGATCTATTTTTCGTACGACTTAACAATTTTGCAAGATTGCCAATCTTAAAAAAATGACAAAACGAACAACAAAATCAGCAGTAATTATTTCTTCATAATAACATATTTTTTTTATAGCAATAAATAAAAAGGTCTATTTAATTTCATTATTTTTTATATTTTAATTTCATTTGATAGTTATTGCTTGCAGGCTTTACAATTTGTCATTATTCTTTTCCCCTTTCTTGTTTGAAGAGTGAATGGGAATCAGCTGAGGTTTGCCGAAAGCTCTCGGCCACAATCTCTCACCAGAGGGCGTTTTACGCTCATCCAACACAAGCGGAGCGCGCCCTCTGGTGAGAGATTGCTCTCGGCCAGTCAAAGTTTACGGAGATGACCGAGCGACAACCGTGGTATGGCTAATGCCCGTAAAAAGCTAATTTAGAAATATAACATCAAGAAATTCAAAAGAATTATACAGCATGTTAAGTATAGATCTGTTTACTGTTTAAAATTGTCGCTAAAGACGGTAAGCTTTTTTGAAAAGCTCTACTTGTTTTATAAACATAATGAAAAACAAAACAGACAACCTTAAAAACAAAATCAACTCGTTTGCAAAATCAACAGACTCCGATGCGAAACCAACGATCACCAATGCAAAACCAACGATTATTCACTGAATTGTCGCTAGATGGCGTGTAAAAAAACATATACACTGTATTACCTGAATTAACGCTAGATGGCGCGGAAGTTTTTCCATGTTATTATTTGTGTACTCTCATAGGAAAGTAAATCCCACGAAATTATATCAGGATCCAATTGGGAAACCTTCGAATGTATTATAGAATATATTATATTATAATTATTATAATATATATTATGTATTATCGGTATCGAAATCGTATAACATGTGCTAGTATAGATCGGGATACATATGATAGGCGATTATATTCATATACTATATATACATTATATTCCCATTTTTATGTATTAGATTGACCCTGTGTATATTTTAGGGAATGACTTGAGTACTTTAAAATATAAAGAAAAGAAATTAAGGTAAGATGTGTGTGTATCCATATCTATTTTTTTTTTTGGGGGGGGGGGGGGGGCTTAAAATTAAGGCGAAGGAATGTAGTAAAGCAATTACTCCAGGCTTGGGGGATACTGTTTTTTGGAGAAATATGGAAAAACAGAAAAACCTGGGACACAGAGCCTGCAGGGGGGGGGGGGGGGGGCTGGCTGAATAAAATTAAAACTATCCTTTCGAACATCTTTTCCAGATTTATTACCAAACATTTTAATTCATGTATAATTAACAAGTTACCAAAATCTTGTGAGACTTTGACTGAAACTTCATGAGTTATTGATTTTGATATGTCGATTCCCCCCCCCCCCCCCCCAAAAAAAAAATGATAAAATGAAAAATTATCATCATCTCCCTTGCGCATCAGTAACAGCCTTGATTGTCCTGCTAATCAGAGCATTTATCTTTTCTGTATTATGTAATTCATATCTGAACAGACCCAGATCCTGTTTTTTTCCGGGGGGGGGCACCCCAATAAAAACAATCGAGCCCATAATTTTCTTGAAAAGCAAAAAAAAAAAAAAAGAAAAAGAAAAAAGAAAAAAAACAAAACAAGCAAACAAATAAACAGGTTAAATTTTTAAGCTTCACACATAGAAAACTAGTACTTTTCATAGCCACTAAGCACATTCGCTTATTTGATGAGGAGTCATCAGCGTTTTTTTTTTTTGGGGGGGGGGCGTCCAAGGTCATTTTAAGTAAGCTTGGTTAAGTGTAAAAAAAAAATCTCTGCAAAATCCAAGAAATGTGTGTGTGGGGGGGGGGAGGTCTGGGACTCTAGATCCGTGCATATCTATGTTAATGAAAACTGTGGCGTAATTATTGGGCAATGAATGCAATTTGATAAAATTCTATTTTACTTATTGTCTAACATATACATGTATGAGTCATACTTGAGCGAAATGATACTTCCTATAATCATGCAATGTGATTAAAATTAGATCCTTTGATCCGCTCACATGTAGCGATCTATGACAGCGGATCAAAGAATCTGATTTTATGCAGATTGCTTCCTATATTAACTCATTCTAAAATAAATTTAATAGACTTTATTTAGTCGTACAAAGAAAAGCAAAAATGATAAAAGTACAACTTGCCAAGTGAATTTTTAAGTATCAACAAATTATTTTATGCATGAACACAATAAAATAATTTTATATGAACTTTTTAAGAGTATAAGGGGATTTTTTTTCTTTCAAAAGTTTTCTCTTGGGTAAAAATACCAATATCTACTACTGGTTTCTTGTAATATATATTTACAGTCGTTTGTAGATGTCTTGCTGCCTCAAATATGTTTGAATTTTAAAAGTCCGATATGATGCTATTATCCGAGGTCTGCCAAACGGATGTTGATAGACAATTTTGCGGGATTTGGACCCGGACCGCAATTAGCTTATATAATTATATAGACTTACAGACATGTGTTTTTAGCTCACCTGAGCCGAAGGCTCAAGTGAGCTTTTCTGATCACATTTTGTCCGTCGTCCGTCCGTCTGTCTGTCTGTCTGTCTGTCCGTCTGTCCATCTGTCCGTCTGTAAACTTTTCACATTTTCGACTTCTTCTCAAGAACCACTGGGCCAATTTTGACCAAACTTGGTACAAAGCATCCTTGGGTGAAGGGGAATTTAAATTGTTAAAATGAAGGGACATATCCCCTCGCAAGGGGAGATAATCAAGAAAAGACAAAAATAGGGTGGGGTCATTAAAAAATCTTCTTCTCAAGAACCACTGGGC